ATAGTATGGGCAGGTATCTAGGTCAGTGGGCCCCTCCAGTACTTCGGAATTTCACTACCGAACAAGTGCAAAATCCAGAAGAATTAATAACACACTTAAATGAGGTGTGTGGTCATTCTGGCCATACCAGAGATGGACAAATCATGGCAACGTGCTGGGGCTTGGCCTATGCTTACAGGGCCTTGTTCAACACTATCCAGCACCTTCAAAAGGAAAAGAATGTCGGTGGATCTGAGGGCAAAGCAACAGTCAGCACAGCTACTCCAGCTCCAGGCACAGCAGCTTCACCACCCCCAGTGACAAGTACAGTCGCTACTCAAACTTTGGCTGCAATGAACAGAGCAGCTACCCCAGCAGCAAGTACAGCAGCTGCTCAAACTTCGACTGCAACAGACAGCGCGGTTACCCCAGCTCCAAGCACAGCAGCTGTGCCACCCCCAGCAACAAGTACAGTTGCTACTCAAACCACAGCGCTGCACCAGCTACCACAAAGGAGAAACATGACTGCTACTGCTGAACCCAGGACAGAGGTGTTACTGTTTAATTTTTAAACTATAATATCTGATGTTGATTGTTTGATAAATGTACAATCAACAAAGTAGATTTCCACCCTGCCCTTAAAAAAAAAGAAAACTCAAACCAAGATTTTAGTCAGGAAAAAATAATTTGGGTCATGACTTTTGTTGGTTTAAGAAGTTACTTATTTGTTGTTATTCTGAATCTAAGCTCAGTGAGGACAAGTGAAGAGGAAAACAAAAACAGTGTGTTCAAAGCCAAAATATGCGATGTCACTAATAGGAGTCACAGTTATCTATTTCAAGCCTTTGGACTTTGCACAGGTGAGTCAATTGTTTATTAAATCTTGCAGTGCTGTTGCTCTGACTATTTCCTCAATACTAAAACAAAAGGTTTTGCCTCACATGTCAATTTTATATCCATTAGTATAGTTTTTCATGTTAAGTAACATTCAACTGAAGTTTTTTCAGGGCATAGATGTTTCAATGCCATTTAATCTGCTGCACTATTGAATTTAAAGCTTCCAGTGAATCACTGATAAAAATAGAGGGGAAAAAGTGTTTCCACTTGATGTAAAACCCTCAATGTCCTTTTATGAAAGTCCTTTGTCATTCTGATCACCTTCCAAACACCTAAAAATCTATTTTGTTTGTGAAACAGTATCTAAGGCTTTTAATAAAATTGGTTTTGTCCCCTTCAAGCCTTGAGGTGGCAATCCATAGATCTGATTGTAGCCAAAGTATTGGGAGTTTGGGGCCTTTCTGAATTTTTCACTGTCAGGGGATCAGCAGATACAGCTTTTTTAAGGCTTTTTGAGCTTTTTTTCAGATATCACAGCTTGACACTGATACTGAAGTAATGCAGAGGAGAGAATCTGAGAGAAGATTTGTCTGAACAGGCTGCAGACATTAATGATGGATACTTTACTTCACTATGCCCAACTTTGTAAAGATTATATTTAAACTAGAACTGTAGCTATATAAGCAAATGTAATTCCTCTATGCTGAACAGACTTTGGCATCTTTACACCATTAATAAATCTGCCTCATGTTTTCTTTCCCTATGGATACTACATTTCTGTCATCTTTTCCTAGGTGGAACTAAGAGCAGCAGGAAAAGAAGATTAGAAAAAAAAAAAAAAAAAGCGCTGATTTTACAGAGGCTTTGCTATAGAATAAGCTTGACAGGTTTGTTCAGCAACTTTAGGTGAAATGTATAGATTTGAGAGATGAATCTGCTATCAAGTTCATCTTTGATATGAATTTGATCTACTTTGATTATTAAGAGGCCTTGAGATAAAGGTGGCAGTTTCCCATGTCAGTCATTAATCTTCTTAAAATAACAGTGCACAGAAGAAAAATTTAAAATTACCAAACTTTGACCAATTTATCTTCCTTAGTCCCACTTGCTATTTGCATTTTCATTGTGCTTTCTCATCTTGTTTTCATTCTGGTGCCATTAAGAGTTGTAATATGTATATGTATATACACATAAGTCCGTACATATACACAAACATAAATATGCAAGACATTCTGAAGACACTATCTTACTATAAATATTATGTATCATTCAGATGGTCATTTTGATTTTAAGCTACTTTATGATTCTATTACAAGTGAAATTCCTCTAGTCCAATCTAATTCTAATGTTATCTATGTAAGTCTGATGTTACTCCACAGGTTCTTTTATAGTCAGCAGAAAGAAATAAGATCCAGCAAAGCAATTCAACTCATGTTTACCAGGACAGAGCAGAAGAATAGTCATGGAAGGTAACACCATGGGTGCCCAGTTGTGAGATAGGAATCTGACTATTGCACATCAAAATTTAGCTATTATGAAACCCAGTCTCTGTTACTTGCTTTTTCTGCTAACCTCCTTCTCTTTGGAATACAGACACAGAAACTGCTTGAGAGATCCTACTTTCTCTAAATGTCAGTGGGGTCAGTCCGTCCTGCCTTTGAATTGCTGAAAGCCCTATTACGCTGTCCATGTAAACTGTGATCAAACCTAAATTGTCTGCTATCTATCTGCAACCACAGTTTCCAGCTGGCTGTTCCATATTTTTCTGTCCTGCTTCCATGCTGTTCTGTCTTTTCCCACTCTCTCCCTGAGCCTGAGGTCACATAATAGCTCACTGGAGATAGACGCATAGTCTCATAAGAGCTGATTTTATAAATAAGGAGCCTTCAAAATAAAATAACTAGTAATTTCAAGTTGCAAAAGAAGGGAAACCAGTCAGTGGATTTACAATCCTTATAATTAAACGATCACTTAGTTTGTATGTGCATTTCAGGGTTTGTACAAATAGCTATTCTAGGCTTCACCAAAATTTATTTTCATTCTATAACTCTGCACCTTATATATTGCAAAATTCATGGGCAGTTTAAGACCTCAGAAATGCTTCTGAGAGATTAGAAATACCAGTTCAATATGATCATTCACTATTATGGCTGCCTTTTCATAGAATCATAGAATAGTTAGGGTTGGAAAGGACCTTAAGATCATCTACTTCCAAGCCCCCTGCCATGGGCAGGGACACCTCACACTAAAACATATCACCCAAGGCCTTGTCCAGCCTGGTCTTGAACACTGCCAGGGATGGAGCATTCACAACCTCTCTGGGCAACCCATTCCAGTGCCTCACCACCCTAAGAGGAAAGAATTTCCTCCTTATATCCAAGGATACCCCTTGTCCTATCACTAAATGTCCCTAATGAAGAGTCCCTCCCCAGCATCCCTATAGGCCCTCTTCAGATACTGGAAGGCTGCTATGAGGTCTCCATGCAGCCTTCCCTTCTCCAGGCTGAACAGCCCCAGCTTTCTCAGCCTGTCTTCATACGGGAGGTGCTCAAGTCCCCTGATCATCCTTGTGGTGCTTCTCTGGACTTGTTCCAACATTTCCATGTCCTTTTTATGTTGAGGACACAAGAACTGCACACAATACTCCAAGTGAGGTCTCACAAGAGCAGAGTAGTGGGGCAGGATCACCTCCTTTGACCTGCTGGTCACGCTTCTTTTGATGCAGCCCAGGATACGGTTGGCTTTCTGGGCTGCAAGTGCACAATGCCGGCTCATGTTCATTTTCTCATCAACCAACACCCCCAAGTCTTTCTCTGCAGGGCCGCTCTGAATCTCTTCTCTGCCCAACCTGTAGCTGTGCCTGGGATTGCTCTGACTGAGGTGTAGGACCTTGCACTTGCCATGGTTAAACTTCATGAGGTTGGCATCAGCCCACCTCACAAGTGTGTCAAGGTCCCTCTGGATGGCATTCCTTCCCTCCAGCGTATCAACCGAACCACACAACTTGGTGTCATCGGAAACTTGCTGAGGGCGCACTCAATCCCACTGTCCATGTCAGCGACGAAGACGTTAAACAAGACCAGTCCCAACACCAATCCCTGAGGGACACCACTTGTTACTGGTCTCCAGCCGGACATTGAGCCATTGACCACAACTCCTTTTGTGCGGCCATCCAGCCAGTTCTTTATCCACCGAGTGGTCCATCCATCAAATTGATGTCTCTCCAATTTAGAGACAAGGATGTCGTGTGGGACAGTGTTGAACGCTTTGCACAAGTCCAGGTAGATGCCATCAACTGCTCTACCCCTGTCCATCTGTTCCGTAGCCCCATCATAGAAGGCCACCAAATTGGTCAGGCAGGATTTCTCCTTAGTGAAGCCATGCTGGCTGTCACCAAGCACCTTGTTGATTTTCATGTGCCTTAGCATGCCTTCCAGGAGAATCTGCTCCAAGATTTTGCCAGGCACAGAGGTGAGACTGACTGGTCTGTGATTCCCTGGGTCATCCATTTTCCCCTTCTTGAAAATGGGGGTTATATTTCCCTTTTTCCAGTAGTTGGGAACTTCACCTGACAGCCATGATTTCTCAAATATGATGGCCAGTGGCTTAGCAACTTCATTCACCAGCTCTTTACAAATATTTAATCTCTTTTACAAAAGCAGTTATAACTAAAAAATCCATCTAAATAAATATCAACCCACATGAAACCCCAACATTTTTTACCCTATGTGTCAGCATGTCTCTGCTCCTTTTCCTTCCTCTAGGAATCATCTCAGCTAAGCAGAATGCAATAATCATCAATAGTTTTAGTTGAAGTCCAACTTTAGTGAAATTCTAGTGATTATTTCATGTAGGTCAAGGAGTTTGCATTATTCTTTGCTCAATAAAACAACATATGGCACATATAGCTTGGGTGAAGGTTTTTTACACCCAAGCCACACATTTTACATTCAAACTAATTCAAACAAATTAATGACATGAAAAACTGATAGTTTAATCTTGAAGATATTAAAACCTGTATCAAAGAGCAGTTTTAGACTTAATGGTGAAGATTCACATTTTACATTAGGAGTTAACAGTGCTCCACCTCTGGAAATGAAATGTTTGAGTTCTAGACTGGCTATTGACATTTTATAGTGTTCATCACTGACAGAGAAAAAGGGAAAAGAATACACTTTACTCACCCAAGGAGTTTGACTGAATGAGTTTTCCATCTAGATCCTGCTTTTTGGGAGTGTCTATAGATTCCCCCTTTGTAAAGGAAAAAATCTTCATACACTTTCATTATAGCTAAAAAATAAACCAAACAACAAAAACCAGGAAAAATCAGCAGTCAGCAAATATTTCTTCAATTCTTGTTTTCTCCTTGCATTTTACCAGTGAGATTTTTTTGTGTGTTGGACTGTGTAAGTGTACTTTGCAATTACACTAAATTCACTTATTTCAGAAGTTCACTGCTGTGAGTGATCCGAGAGAAATATTCTAACAGAGTTCCCTCAAAGGTCTCTTGTCAAATTAATTGGGTTTCTATGTCATAAAAATTCCCTATCATAGACTTTTTCCAGTACAATGAGAAGAAATATTGCTTTGTGTAGGTTTACTTATGTTTTCTCAGTTCCATTGAAATCCAGTTCAATAAAACAAATATCAAGGTTCATGTACAAAATCCTCAGTTCTGACAGGCACCTGCATATTCAGGAGAAGTATTTAACAGACAATGCATATCCTGTGAAATACAGTGGAGTAACCTGTATGCCTTTTTATGAAACCCAGATACAGCGCAATAAGTACACAGCAATCTTCTTACGGAAAACTAAATTGTATATATGTTCATTATGCCTTTCAGCTAAAAGTGTGGGAATAAACCTCCTCTGTATCCATAAAAGTGTAAGACTGAAGAGCTGATGAGCTTGGCATTTTATGCCAAAGAATGAAGATTGCAATTTGAATTTTATTTTTATTCATTATTTCCTAGGAATATCATTCATTTCTCCTTTATGAAAAATTTGTTTAGTTTATTTTCCACATTTGGTCTTCCACCTTAGTATCATTTGCCTTGTTATATCTGGGCTACAGATCCAGAGAAATGAAAGTATTTCCCGGTTTGCATTACCTTTAGAATCCAGTGAATGAGAAGCATTACATAAGAGCTTAACTTCAACTTAGTTTTAGCTTATGATTTTAACAGTCTTAGACTGCCACACATCTTGGAACATAAGAATTAGTAAAATCCAGTTTCCTACAGTCTTGCATCTTGGGAGTTCCATAAAGTAAATATGTATTGTACTGACCATTTTTATGTGATTGGACCATTTATACTGTATGTGCCTGGTATAGATCTGTGGTATCCATTAAGGTGAGCTCATGCTGCAGTTTTTTTCTGTCTGGCATACTTTCAAATTTCTTTTTTCCTACCTGCATAAACTCAAAGGAAATTAACTATTTTTATAACCTCTTGGCCTCTATCATACTTGGCTGAACACAGAAAACATTCACAAATTTTAGGGGATGAAAGAAAACAGCTAAATAAATGGTCAAATGAGCCCATATGCCCAGGAAACCTGGCTAAAAAAATACTTTGCTAATGAGGTCTCTCACATAAAAAATGTATGCCAACAAAAATGCATGTGGAATAAGCAGCCATGATGCTACCTAGGTGGCAAGTCTGGGGGAGAGATAAATCATTTAAATCAGAAAAAAAGTTAAATGCTTTTAATGAATAATGTTACATCTTCTGCCAAGTTGTCTGCAGAACCAGAGCTCACACATATTGACAGCAATAGACTGGAAAATAATGCATTCTTTTTGACTCTCCTCTCCGTCCCTCCGGGAGCAGGGGGAGGGCAAGAAGGGGGGGTCCTCGATTGTTGTCAGCCTGGCACCACTCACTGGGAGTGAGTGAACAAGTTGCCTGACTGGGTTTAAACCATGACACTTTATTCTTGGTTTCTAGCTGCAAGCTCAGGACTCTGTTAGAGCTCTCTGCAAAGGTTTATTCCCTCCCTCCCCCTAGGCTCACCACTGTATAGAGCTAGGAGTTTAACTCCTGCTGGTGTCCCTGTACTGCTATGCAAAATTCCAGCTGTTGAGGTTTCTGAGATTCAGAGAAGCTTGTGGAGGGAGAGTTTTAAAACAGTACAGAGGAACAGAAAGGGAAAAAAAGACTCCCACTGGCCTTAGTCCAGGTGAGGATGTCAGAGGAGAAGCGCAGGTGATCAGTCTTTTAAAAAAATATTGTAGAAGCTTCCCTGGATTTTGTTTTGATATCTTGGCCAAAGGGAGGCAAAGAAATAGGGGTGAGTGCAAGGACTGCAGAATTCACTTCTCCCACAGTAGGTCTGAGGTTAGAAGATCACATCTATCATCAGGCTGAGACAGGATAAGGTAGTTTCATTTCTAAATCACATTGTTATTTGAAATCAAGTTCCATATATTCAGTTTCAGAAAACAATTTATTCTTTATCAGGAGCTCTAAGTCAAAAACATGTACTTGGCTCTGAGAAGAAACATATCTAAATTATTTCCACTAAAATGAAATAGAAAATTTGAAGTGTATTTCCAGAATAACTTTAGTCTATGTGAGAGAATTTTATCCACGATTACATATCTCCATTATGTGTGCGTGTATGAATATATATTTCTCTATATATGCAAATATATATACCTGTGTATTTGCATATCTATTTACCTATGTGTGTATATATCCCTGCAATCAGGAGCTAAATAATGATACAGTCTTTGGAATAAAGTGAGTTGGGTATGTGAAGTGTAAGGTAGACAGTGAGATGATAATTCAAAATCAAGCACTGAAATATTTTATTTCGTAACTCTGTCCTGATATGGATTGTGACTTGGACAGGATGAGATGATCACAGTCCACCAGCCAACTTTGTTCCCTCCCATGTAGAAGAGACTTTGTATTTTCCGAAATGAATGGATTATTAATGAATCAGTAGAGCTAGTGATTTTCCTAAGGTTGACAGTAACTCATGTATCAGCTACCACAGTCACGCTGAGCTGTCAGATCTGTACATATAAAAGAAGTAGATTATAAAATTCTTAAATAAGAATTTGTGTCTCATAGACATATGAAGATATAAAGAACTAAAAGCACTTGCTACAAAAAGAACTAGAGTGTAACGCTGTACATTAATGTAGCCTAGTATTTTCTCCGGATCTTTTTCTTGTGTTAGCAAATTAAATACACCTTTTTTCTTTCCAATATCATAATAGCTGAAATTATAACCTTCGCAGGGTCAAAACTTTAATGTATTACCAAGAATGTGTTTCTTTTTCTTTTGATTGAGACTGACTACTGTGACAGGAAGGATTGCTTTCCTTCATCAGCATTATAACTATCAGAACATTATCGAAAGTCCATTTTAAAAAAAAGACAAATGGGCAACATTAGATTGTTCATTTGAATGCTTTTAAAGCATTGATGAAGCTTCACTGTGTTTATTTGAAATCAGATTTTTTTAAAAAACTAGTGTTCATTATTTGCATCTAAAAGTGCTAATAGCTCAGTTCCTGACCCATTAAAACAATGAGGTATGTCAGAGACAAATTGTCATTCAAATTTGACAGCTGTATAGGAGAAACTTTTCAACTACATTCCTACACATACTGTTTCATAATTGTTAAAAAATATGCATTTTCCTTAACATTCAATATGCCCCAAATCCATGTACATTCATGATCAAACAGGATGACTTTCTACATCATGATCTTGAAAGGATCTTGAATATTTTCCAGCTATTAAACATTACATATTAGATAAGACTGGTTATAAACACTTTGTAACTTCTTGAGGAATGACAAGTGAATAAATAATGGAAAAATCTCTTTCGGTAGAAGACCTTTTGCAGAAAGTTTTGGGGAAAAAAAAAAAAGTATGATATGATTTGAAAATTAGAAGTATGCACTAATTTCATTTGTAGTACAGGAAGATAGAAGAGAGAATCAGTGGTGAACTACTGAGTCATAATTAGGACTCTTAAAAATCTCATTATAACAAAAAGAAAAAATGGAATGTGATTTTACTCAGTCATACACACTCTCAGTCATAAACTCTTCTTCAGATTTTTCTACAAACAGCATTACCTTAACCTGACTAGACATTTTCTCTGAAAAAGCATTGACATTTAAAAAGAAAAATTGTATGAATTATTGTGTGGTTAAAACCTAACAAATGGCTGAACATAGATTATTTTATGTGGAAGATTTAGTAATGACAGATTAATCCAGCAAACTGTATATACATGGACTACAAATGCAATATTAGAGAGAAGCCCCAAAATTTTTCTTGAGGATAGTAATCTTTTCATTTTCTTAAAGCCAGCAGAAATTACTGCATTCACTTCTAGATCAAATGCAGCATGAGAAAGAATATTTTCCTTGAGCAAACAAACTTGAGTAGAACAAAAAGGACTGATGATTTTGAGCTTGTCAAGTTTGAGCTTCAGATTAATTGCAACTTCCCACAAAAAGAGCTTTAATAAGTAATTTCAACTGCATGACATACTGAAATGAATTAAATCTAAGAATCAAGACCATTTTGATAATAAATTGGAGGTCATGATAATTTGCCATATAATTGAGGGCAATAGAAACACAGAAGTCACCTGAAGTAAAAGGCTTTGGTTTTTTCTTCAAGATGGGTGGACATCCTGAACTATGACATTTCCCCATCACCCCAAACTCCACAGCTCTCAACCTCTCCAGTTACACTGACCTGAGGGTTGAGCAGGAACCTGCATTTTCAAGTGCTGCCAGCACCATCAGTGACTCCAAACAGACAGTGTTCAGGCTAAACAACATTTCTGCAGTTCCTCATTCCTTGCTGAAGTCTCTTTATTTCTCTAAGAGGTCAGGGATCTCCATTGCAGGGTTCAGCACAGAATTTCAAAACTAGCAGCCCTCTACAACCACGAATATTTGGGTTCTGAAAGGGAGAATTCTGGAAGTATTCCAGAACTTAATGATTTGTTGGAGGGCCCATATACTGCACCATTGCCTTCAGGCTTGGTGGGTTAGGCTCAGCTAATGGGGAATCAATATCAGCCCTAAAGAGGAGAGCTTTGCTAACGTTTACCTCCTCCTGCACATCCCCAAATTACTATTTCATCAATAAGCAAGAAAATGTCATGGGAAAAAGGCACATTTCCAGCACACAGATTTTCAACAAATCCAGCTCAAGACCATTTTACTCATCATAGTCTATGTTGCAGTATATCCAACTTTAGGGGCACTAGTTGCCCACCAAACATCCCTGGATGAACTACAGTGCATATGTCTGTCCTATTCACTGTGGAATATAATTTGCGTTTTCTAATATTTTGATACAGGGACATTGCACACTTCAATTATTTCAATAATAATATTATCATTTTCCAAACTTACCATACCTTGCACTGGTCCTTTGTCCATGATTTCTTTCATTATATCAGTTTCCTGAAGGAAGGTAAGAACAACAGCAGAGAGGGCAAGAGAAGATAACACATTCTATTACATAAAATTAAAACTCATACTAATTTACAATTATGTACATAACATCTATGTATGGATGATATGAATGTACGATTGTACTTGTATTTCTGCTAGACAATATTTAGTTTGCCAAATGAACAAAACTTTCAGAAGCATGTTTAAGAAGCACTAACGCAGTTATGACTGCATGCTTTCTTTTCTATCTCTAATAAGTACCACAAGCAGCAGCTTTAAAAAGATGATGTAAAACTGAGAAGCTATAAAGAATTTGAACTCTTCTGAAAATACAAGGGTAATACACAGGAAAAAAGTCACAGCTCCAGTCTTTAAGTAAAGTGAACATATTTCCATATGCCAGATAATTTTCAAGCCCCAGAGGAGAAAACTGAGTGAGACAATGGGTGAACAGCATTAACTTACTTTTGAGGAGACCCTGTAGTGGGCGGCACACCGGTATAACCGATTGGATTCCACCAAAGCATTTGGACATGGTCCATTTGTATGGTTTTTCCCATATTCGCTTGACACATAACAGTGACTTTCACCTGATGGCTCCAGGTGGCTCTTCCAAAATGATGGATAACAAGCATAGGACACAACCCTGTTTAGTTATTTAAAAAAAAAAAAAAAAAGTTGATAAAAAACTTCCTTAAACATTTTTATAGTTTTATTTTAAGTTGGAACACTGACAAAATATATGACAAAACAGGTGAGAATGCATAGGTACCAGAGAGGTGGGACTTCCTGCAATTTCACAGCTTGGTTATTTTGCAGTAACATTCAGACTGTTCCTTAGTGGAAAGACAGGTTTATGTTTGGAAGTGAATGTGGACCAAAGAGCAAACAGAGACAAACTTTGTGAAGTTCAGTGTGCACAAAAGCCTGGGGACTATCCCACGGGGCTCAGGCCACAGGGGTCCTCCTATCAGTTCCTGATTATTGGCAGCAATGAGCCTCTCGAGGAAAATAAATGACAGGTTGTGGCATGATATCACAGGGGCATCTACATCTCTAAAATTATGTTCGCTATTTCTTAGAAAAATATCTATCTCAAAATATTTTCTGAATGCTTAGAGAGTTTTTGGTCACACATAGAGCAATTTAATTTTTCCTACCATTTATTATAAATCTGCATTAAAACTTTCAATTTCAAAGTTTTAGAGTTTATATAAAGAAAATATAAGTAATTTTTAACACTTTTAAATTAAATTCCATATTCTACAAAGATTAATTTAAAAATATAAATTCAAGTAATTACTGGGCAGTTCATTCTATCAAAGATTTCAATGTGCAAAAATTCATTTATGTAAAGAATAATGGGGGAAACGTGTAATAGCAAATACATGTCTCCTATGAAAACAGGCTAAGTGGGAGTTCTTCAGCCTGGAGAAGAGAAGGCTCATGGGAGACCTTATATCAGCCTTTCAGTACCTAAAGAGGCCTACAAGAAAGCTGAAAACAGACTTTTTACAAGGGCGTATAGTGATAGAACAAGAGGTAATGGCTTTGTATTGAAAGGGGATAGATTTAGATCAGATGTTAGGAAGAAATGATTCATTATGAAGGTGGTGAGACACTGGCACAGTTTGCCCAGAGAAGTTGTGGCTCCCCCATCCCTGGAAATGTTCAAGGCCAGGTTGGATAAGGCTTTGAGCAACCTAGTCCAGTGTAAGGTGACCCTACCCCTGGCAGGAGGTTGGAACTAGATGACCTTAAGGTGCTTTCCAACCCTAACTATTCTGTGACTCTATGTATTGCCTTTTTTTTTTTTTAAAGAAAAAAAAAAATCTTCCAATAACGAAGATTTTATCTGTCCAACACATTCATGAGACATCACTTGGAGTATTGTGTGCAGTTCTGGTGTCCTCAACATAAAAAGGACATGGAAATGTTGGAACAAGTCCAGAGGAAGGCCACGAGGATGATCAGGGGACGGGAGCTCCTCTCATATGAAGACACGCTGAGAAAGTTGGGGCTGTTCATCCTGGAGAAGGGAAGGCTGCGTGGAGACCTCATAGCAGCCTTCCAGTATCTGAAGGGGGCCTACAGGGATGCTGGGGAGGGACTCTTCATTAGGGACTGTAGTGACAGGACAAGGGGTAACGGTTCAAACTTAAACAGGGGAAGTTTAGATTGGATATAAGGAAGAAGTTCTTTCCTGTTAGGGTGGTGAGGCACTGGAATGGGTTGCCCGAAGAAGTTGTGAATGCTCCATCCCTGGTGGTGCTCAAGACCAAGTTGGACCGAGCCTTGGGTGCCATGGTTTAGTGTGAGTTGTCCCTACCCACGGCAGAGGGGCTGGAACTTGATGTTCTTAAAGTCCTTTCCAACCCTAACTATTCCATGATTCTATGATTCTATTTCTAGTTATAGGCTTTAAAGGCTTAAAGACATTTAACTGATTTTTGACAGTTGAGTGATTGAGGAGGTGTTGTGATAACTCACCTGTGACTTATACCCATGCTAATTTTGTATTTGAAAATCTCCAAAGTGCTAAAATCAAATGATCTTTGAAGCACAGGTTAGGAGCCTTCATTGCATTCAATGGAAAAGGGCAATAAAAATGAGGTTGTTTCAAGGAAAGGTAAGGAAGTGTTTTAATTCTTTACCTTGGCAATACATCAAATGAATTGCTGCTTCATACAGTAAGTTTGTTTCAAGTAGTTTACCATGAATTGTTCAGCCATTTTGACTGCTTGGCTTAGTTGAACATCCTTTTTACTTCACTAAAATGAAGGAAAAAGTGTGTATTTAAAATGCACCTACTAACAATCTCAAAGGTGCACTGAATCTTCCACTTATTATTTTATCCTTGTTATGAGATATTGCAATCGTCTAGTTTTCTACTTTGCACTGCTAGATGTTTCCAAAACAACATACTCATTTCTGTACAGTGCCATGGAGGCTTATGGGAGGGTTCCTTTTAAAGAGTCTAATTAAATAGTTCATTGAAGCAGAATATTTTAAAATAGGCAGTCTTATTGAAAGGATATGCACTTAAGTAGCTCACCAATTGTCCTGAACTTTCTGAACCTGAAGAAATAAAATCTGTATTTCATTTAATGTTCTAGTTTTTTTTTTCATTTGTGCTTACCTGTGTATACTTAGTTGCCAGGAATTTTACAAGCTGAGTACATACATGCTTCAGCTACTTTGAGTAAGTCATGGCATTTTCCCATTATCATTTGGTGGTATAAAAATTGACCCGAAGAGAATGTCTTTTTGATTACCAAATTCTTTCTGCCTGAACTAGACGAACACACACAGAAGATCAAAAAAGCAGTAATTCTGCCTGCTTGAAAAGGGATTTTCCATCCAAAGTTGTTAGGTTGTTAGGGTGTCGTTACTTAGGTACTCACTGGCAACCTCTTTTATTCCTTTCTGAATATCTGAAATTATTCTGGATTCCCAGATTTCCAGTGGGGAATGTATTTAGGCCAAATATACATGAGCTGTTATTAATAATTTAAAAATTTCTTATGTTTTGCTTCTATTGTTAGATAAAAAGAAACCTTTGTTTTGTATATTTAGACATATCATATATGTAAATATAAAATGTTTCTATCTCTAATAAATGCGTCTATAAAATATATTTATAAAATATATCTATCTCTACATACATAATCATTCTAGTCACCACTGATCACCAAGTTCCAAAAGAAATATACTGCTGATGAGTGTAATCAGGCCTTTAAGGCAAGTAAGGTGAACAGATACCCTCCTCAGAGCATGATCTGGTATAGGCAGGGCAGGAGCAGGTGATTGCAACCCTGTGTAAGAAATGGCATGACGCTATTCCTCAGGTGTACTTACAAACATCTCAGAGAGAGACAGCAAAGTAAAAATTCATTCCTGGAGTAGGGATTTTTTTTCCCCTCCTTTCAGTTGGATTGTCCCTCTGGAGTTGTCACAGGTTCTGCATGGATGGGTCTTACTTCTATGGCAATAGAAGTGAAGCACCGAGTGACACACTGGCATACTGGAGCTGTGTGGTAATCCAAACATGATGATTCATTCTGGACTAACAGTCACTTTTGAATCCTTTCACTAGCCATATTCTGCAGTCATGATTAACAGAATTCAACAGCTCTTTACTGAAACATGAGTTCGTACATGCTGAAGCATCAGAACAGTTAACATTAAATGCATTTCAGAAAGACCTTGCCAGAAAAGTCATAGAGGAAAAATAAAATAGAGAAATAAATAAGAATGCATTTATATGTGCAGATACATACACATATAGAAAAATACTACCAGGAGAAAGCAGCATTCAGAGAGAAGCAACAAAAGTCTCCAGTGTGTTCCTACATTCTTGAGAGAATTTATCTGAAGTCATTTTTATATGTTCAATCTAATGAAATTTCTTGCGGTTTTATCATATTTGAATTGTGTTGAATTTTATCACATCTGAATTGTGAGGTGAGAATATAATCTCAAATATTAGATTATGTTATTAGCAAGTTGACCAAAACTAATAGCAATAACATCCTTATCATACCTGGAAATTGCTAACAGCCCAAGGTACAAATCAGATCAAGCCCTGATTAGAAGCAGTAGTTTTGTTCAAACGTGTAACCTTTTACTATATGAAAAAAAAATGTTTCTTCCTCATTATTGAAGTCTATAATCTTTTCATTTCCCTTACTAGATAAAATAGGTGTTTTCAAACCACACTGATTTCTCCTAAATTGTGGCTTGCAACTGAAATGTCTAAAATTAATAATAAATAGAAATAGAATATGGATTTATTCTTTAATCGATGGAGAAAGAGAGAGAGAGAGAGTTTGACAGTGATTCTGCTCCACCTGGAGAGATTTCACTATTAACTGGGTGCTCAGTGATTCTGACAAGTCAGGTCCTAGCACTGGCCTAACCTTGAGCTTTATGAAGGTCTTTCATTGACTTCAGTGAGGATAGTCTAAGTCAGCACTTGATTTTCCTCAAAATCTATCAAAATCATGAGATAAGCATACTTCAGAAATCGGGAAAACAGAAGATTTAAAACAGTATTGAACACCTGCTGTGAAAATTTACAAGCCCACAAAGAAAATCAATGCACTTTCTCCCTATTGCAAGGAATGGAGATAATGAAAAAAATTGATTGCAATATATTGGTTCATAAATAAAAGTCACCTGAAAGTGCAAGGAAGCAAGCACTATTTAACAGGGCTCATTCAAAAGACACTTCAGACTTTTATATCATAAATTTACATCTTTTTTTTCATTGTCAAAAGTAAATAGTTATGGATTATAGGGTTTCAGCTACAAAAATTATTCAATTATCAGTCCAATGAATCAAAAATGTTTATTCTGTTTTTCGTTGTTGTCTGTACTATTTACTCTTGGCCACTGTCAAAGACAAAATATTGGGCTAGATGGACCCTTTCTCAGGTACAGCATAGCCATTGTTGCGTGCTTCCAGTATCTGTCCTCAGAAATATTTGAATATTTTCCGTAAGGTGTTTATTTGTGTCTGGAACTCTTGGAAGAGGACTCGAAATATCATTTAAACTTGAGGAAAGAACATCAGGATTAAAGAATGTTGTTTATAAAAATAGTTGAGTAAGACATATCATCAGTGTAGTAGTACACTGATGATGAATTAGTGATCAGGGACAAGAATGGGCAGCCAGCAAAGGCCTGTGAGAGCTCAGTGATGTTGTACATGTGGCATCTGACCCTGTGGGGACAAGAAAACTGGATAAACGACTAAGAAAATAGTCTCAGACTGTGAAGATGTATTGGAGATCTAGATAGTCTCAAAAAAACTGTGGTTGTTCTCACAACTGCCTGGCAGATTCTTTAATCACTCATCACTGATCACCAATAAGCTGCAAGAAGCTGGTGAATACCACAAGCCATCTCAGGTGACTGAGCAATAATGCAAGTACTGGGGAATTGGGAGGTGAAAAGACAGCTCCCACGTGTGCTCTGGCGAACTCAGGTGCCCTACCTGTACGCTTCCAGCCTCACAGGAGTCAGAAAGCCTGCTCTGCACACCATTTTCACACTGGTGCTCTGCGGTCAGAGAGAGAGCAATCTTTTCACTACTTCGTTTACACCAGCATGAGCTCCTGTGTGAGTACAGCTTGGTTGATAACCAAGTACCTCATACAGTCTCAGCCCGTTACATTTTCCTTATAGAAATAAATTAACCCTTGTACACTTAATCTGCCTCTGCAGAACAGGCAGTGACACTACCCACACTGCTTCAGGTAAAAGAAATTTAGCTTTCCGGTACAGGAAGAGTCTTACTACTATGGGCTCATGGTGGTTATGCCCATGAAGAAATAACAGTCAGAGGGAACAGAAGACTAGGCAGTTTTCTTATTGTTGCATTCTTTTTGGCTTTTCCTCTACAATTAGATTGCTCCAACTGCTGTGGAGACAATACTTATTAAAATGGATCTCTTAGCAACACTGGCAATTCTTGTGCTCCTGCCCTCAACATCGTAATCAAGCAAACAATCCAGTGAGAAAGAGTATTTACTGTCTTAGGAACATGAGTTACTGACTAAAGGAGCCTGTTCTTCTACTTACAGAAAAGTGTTGGTTAAAATGTTAAGTTATAATTTTCATCTGTTCATGAATGAAGCTTCTGCCCATGAGGTAAAACCCCCCATTAGTTGTTGATGGGTTTTTGGATAGAATCCATTAGCGCCCACAGTAATCGTTCAACTAAAGGGTCTCACACTTAAAACCTTTAAACCCTGAGACAGAAAGACAGAGGAACACTTGATGTAAATTCTCCACATAACAACACAAAATCCCTGTCAGATCAGAAATAGCTTGGTACACTTGAAGAAATCAGAATGATCACTCTTTATACTGTGTCTGTGTGAATGACAGTGCTTTGGTCTTCATTTAGATTACAGGCTGCCATGTCAAATATGACATCCGATGCATCATGCCTGACATTCTTTTGCTCTTTCCATGGTTTGTTTCTTTGTTTGTTTTTAAACTAAAATTTAAAGTTGACAGACAGCACACCCAAGATACTTCTGTCTGTCAGTATCAGGCATATCAAAGCTAGAGTAAGGGTATGAAAGTGAGAGAGGAAACAGATTTTGGTAGTAAGCAAAAAAGATAAAAAATTTTCTATAATTTATGCTGAGAAACAGCAGAATGTAACACAGTATATAATATCTGGTTGTTCCATATTCTCCTGGGAGCCATTTCCAGGCACATGAAATTCAAGAGGTTGACTGAGAACAGGCAGATTTACCATGGTAAGTTATATCTCACCATGATGAGATGATGAGATGACCTGGCCATGATGAAATGACTGCCTCTACAGAGAATAAGAAAAGCAGTGGACATCATTTTCCTTGACTTCATGAGTGTTTTCAGCATGGTCTTCTGTGGTGGTGTTCTAGCTTACTGGACTAGATGCCAGCAGTGTGCGCTCACAACCCAGAAAGCCAACCATATCCTGGGCTGCATCAAAAGGAGCATGACCAGCAGGTTGAAGGAGGTGATCCTGCCCCTCTACTCTGCTCTCGGGAGACCTCACCTGGAGTACTGTGTGCAGTTCTGGTGTCCTCGACATAAGAAGGACATGGAAATGTTGGAACAAGTCCAGAGGAGGGCCACGAGAATGATCAGGGGACTGGAGCTCCTCTCATATGAAGACACGCTGAGAAAGTTGGGGCTGTTCATCCTGGAGAAGGGAAGGCTGCGTGGAGACCTCATAGCAGCCTTCCAGTATCTGAAGGGGGCCTACAGGGATGCTGGGGAGGGACTCTTCATTAGGGACTGTAGTGATAGGACAAGGGGTAACGGTTCAAACTTAAACAGGGGAAGTTTAGATTGGATATAAGGAAGAAATTCTTTCCTGTTAGGGTGGTGAGGCACTGGAATAGGTTGCCCAGAGAAGCTGTGAATGCTCCATCCCTGGTGGTGTTCAAGGCCAGGTTGGACAGAACCTTGGGTGACATGGTTTAGTGTGAGGTGTCCCTGCCCATGGCAGGAGGGTTGGAAGTAGATGATCTGAAGATCCTTTCCAACCCTAACTATTCTATGATTCTATGAGTTGCTTACAAGGTCAGTAAGTGAACTGAACTGGCATGCTGACAGGCCAAATGATCAAAGTAACTGGTGCCTGTTTGCTAGTGACTTTCTTCATGAGCCAACACAGCGACAGCACTACCTTGCATCTCAATAGAGATCTGGACAGTGGGACATAAAGCAGTAAGGCACCCTCAGTAAATTTGTGGAGGATGCCAAATTGGTGGGGAGTGGTTAGTGTTTAGCAGTCCTTTCATTCAGAGCAACATCACAGGCTAGAGAAATGAGCTGACAGAAACTTCATGAAGTTCAAGGAAGGCAGAAAATAATCCTGCTTCTGAGCCAGAGCTGCCCATGCAGAAGTACTGGAAGGGCATTGCCTGTGCAGTTTCACAGAGAAGGACCTGTGGTCCTGATGGGCACAAAGATGAACACGGATTAGCAGTGGGCCCTCCCAGCAAACACAGACAATCAATACTGGCTTGTCTTATCAAGAATATAGCCAAGACATTGTGAGAAGTTATTATTCTCTTCAAATTGTCACTTTTGTGGTTACATGTGCGGTACTGTATGGGATCCCCAGTGAAAACACTGACAAACTGAGCAAATCCAATGGAAGGCACTTAGAGGTCTGAAGCACATGATATGGAAAGAGAGGGTGAGGCAGCTAGATTTGCTCAGCCCAGAGAAATGAAAGCTAAAAGGGAATCTAATTACTGCCTTTCACTATGTAACGAGAGGTTGTAGAGGAGACAGAGCAAGACTCTTCTTGGAGATACACAGTGAAAAGCTGAAAGGTACCATCACAGGCTGTACTAAGGAATATGCTGATTAGATATATGAAAAAGCAAATGTTTGACCACAAAAGTGGTCCTGAAGGAAAGGCTGTGGAACCTCCATTCTTGGAGATACTCAGAATATGACAGGGGGTATGGCCTGAGCAACCTGATCTAATTTCAGAGTTAGTCATGCTTCGAGCAGAAAGTTGGACTAGGTGACCTCCAAAACTTCATACCAAGCTAAATCATTCTGTGATTCTAAAAATTATTATATGTAATTTTAAAAAAGCTTCTAGCTCTTTGTGTGGAGTTTGAGAGATGTTAACTTTGCTTAGTCCCACCTGAAAAATGTCTAGATATACTCTTTGTTACAGTGTCGCATACTGGCACAATCTTGGGATGGGATGATTGCTATTTGCTTTACAGAAAGACAGTGTTTGATCTTTTGAATATTAAAAATGTTGTCTCATGCAACTGCCTGCTTACTCAAGGTTGTTTAATGTGAAGAGCCTGTAGCCCAAAAACCATAGAAGTTTTGAATCCCCTTACAGTATTGTCTTTAACATAAAAAGCTTTCTTGTTTATCTTGCTTTAGAGAGGATACCATTTTCCCCAGTTGTATTACAGCTAATAACAACATCTAGATATAATAAGGCTTAAATGGGAGCAGGATGGTTGAAGTTTTCTCACTGAGAGCTCTCATTCAAAATAATCTTCACTCACTTCTTCAGGAATGCTAGGTTGTTCTTCATAAAAGTGATTTAAAGAAGGTATAAATGAGAGAAAGTGACAGTCTTGATGAAGTAATACGGTTAACCGGGGCAAAGCTGAATGCTTCTTTTTGAAAGGTCAGAAATTATCATTGTAGCACAAGCAACACTGTATCCTAAGCAACTAGACCAAGTTAAAATTACCTAGACAGATGGATTAAATATTTACCCATGCGTTTTCAGATATCTCCAAGCACCATCAATACTTCCACCATTACATCCATGATTCCTGGTATCACAAGAGATCAAATTCTGAACAGAAAGGTTGTCTGTCATCTGACCACCAGAATGAATTGTTATCCTATCTGCCGCAACACCTGTTTTGAAACAAATATTCCATTATCAAAACCAAATAATTACAGCTTCACATTGGTTATTGTGAAATAGGGACTGAAATACAACTTCAATATCTTTTGTCTGTGCAGATACCTTTACAAAACAATACAGATTTAATTAGTACAGATGTTCGAGAGAGGATGGTGAAACTGCAAATCATCATGAGCAACTTTGCTGTAAATCAACAGATTTACTGGTTATCATAAAGTCCCATATATGTAAACACAAATGAAGCATTTACGTAATTTAGTCTGATGGTTTCTAGTATGTTTGTAAATGCATATTCATTTCTGTTTGACTTCAGCAGAAGATGCAAATACTACCCCACCTCTCTGCAGCTGAATCTCCAAATCTCTCCTCTTCCTTTTTTACCTTCCCTACTTTAGTTGAGAAAAAGAAGAAAGGCAAAAATGAACAGTCCTATGAAGGAAAAAATTCAAGACTGAATGTATTGGTTTTAGTGGAAAGAATATTTGGAATTGTTCATACTAATGTGTAGAAGTGGGATTCATTGGAGCACCCTCCCTTATTACACAAAATTTTTCTTCTGAGACAGACACCTTAGATGTCTGAACTCAATCAGATAGTCATAATTCTAAGTACTAATATATTTATGCACTGATTTGAAGGCAGGCTAGGCTAAGTTGTGTGTGAAATTAAGCTACTCTTCCTTTCTTTAATGAGTGATAATGAAACAATTATTAGGCCCCAATCCCAGCCATTACCTGTTCTTAAATTATATTTTTATTATTGTTAAACTTTATTTTTCAACCTGAAAAGAATAAAAAGCACCCACCTTGAAATCTAAAGCACTATTGAAATCAGCACTAACTTCAGTGAACTCTGGACATGACTTCAGAAGAGTCAATCTGCTGATAGCAGCTGATAGCAACTGTGTTCTTTACTTTTTTGATATGTCAGATGAAGGTGAATTTATTTTCATAAATGTAAAAACTTTTTACTGAAGAGCTCTGGAATACTCACAGGAATTACTCATGATAAGAAAAAATGATGCAGTAGTGTTTGTCTATTTGTTGAGCAACAATTAATCTTACCAAGAAGGATTGAAAATTCAGATTGAAAATGCTAGAGGCACCTAAACAACATAGGAAGGCATCTCATAGTATTTAACATTGAAAAGAACTATGTGAATTAAGAACAAAAGATTCAATTACAAAAGGGAAAATTTAGACTGAAGATCTGGAAAGTCTTTCCTTCTGTAAACTCTGTTCATCTTTGCAATAATTTGTCCAGAGAGCTGCTAGAAGCTTTCTTGGTTTCCTCTTTTATAGCTACACTGAACAAGACATATTAGTAACAGAGTGCCTTCAGTCTCTTTGCCAGGGAGCTGGGATTAATTGAACTAAATGTTCCTTTCCTTCTCTTACTGCTGTGATTTAAGGAAGTGGTTGCAGAAACCTACACCCATGAGGACCCACTGGCCAGGTTAAGTCAAAAAGACTGATTGCAAAATTTTTCTTCTCTATCTTTATATGTACCAATATATACTGAGATTTACTGCAACATAAGAAAAATGAACATAAATGATTGCTGTACCTTCTTTTGTGTAAGTGACACAAACACTTGTGTCCATTTCTCCTAAAACCAGAGGTTGCAGCACATGCAGTTTGAATTACCTTACTGACATTTCCTTTCTTGCCGAATCTGAAAACGGTTACTTCCACAAATATTTGAGCAGTTTCAGGGTTTTCTTCTCATAAAATTATTGAAAAGGTTATACTTAATTTGCTGGAATAGCAATGGTTGGACAATGGTAAATGGTAATGTAAACATACATTTACCATTACAACCCCCCCCCCCGTTTTAAGCTTTGAAGTCAAGAATGCAATTGTGCAAGCAAGGGGTGCAGGTTTTTAAAAAGTTACTCTATCAATTACAAAAAAGTGCATTAGTTAATTTATTTTCTGCTTTCTGTCACCAAAACACCTCCCTGTGTTACATGAACTTATGAAAAGCCAACAAATCTCTACAGCTTAGATGGACTTCTTAAGACTTCGGGATGACTTAAAGGGAAAGCTGTAGAAATGTAAATGTTCTTAGTTGGTGATAAAAAGTGAACAGCAAGCTGAAGTTACTCCATTAATAATCAATACAAGTTTTCACCACACACCTAACATCGAAGATATTTTTTAAAGGAGAAAAAAATAATTTTACTTGCGGTTGAAAAAGCCCAGGATGCACCACAGTTTCGTTGATCCAGAGGATCATGAATCCACTCAGGCCATGCATAAGTGGCTGCAAAAAATGCAGGAAAGTATTCTTCTGGAAGTGAATTTCCCTAAAACAAAATGTATATGCTTCAATACTTAATTTTATCTTAAATTTTACCTAATTTTACTTTTAAAGTTCTTAAATTTCAAAATGAGGAAACCCAAAGCATTGGCATCTGTGGCTTCCTCAGCACCAGTGTGATGGTTACACTGTGGCTGAGAGCTGTGGACCCCCTGAGAGTAGGAGGGTTCTGGCACTCTACTAGCTGAGCTGGAAAGCTGAGCTAAACGACTGTCAACCTGAATAACCTTCTAGTTTCTCTCTGATTTTTATCTCAAACAACAATTCCCTATGCAACACATTAATTATGACCATATAATTAATTATGGCATTTTGGGGGAAAAGCCTTCTACTACAAACAGCAGAGAATTTAGTTACCTGTTACCTTATTCTCCTTGACACATGGCTGTAGGTAGGAAATTTTAGTCACCCTGGGAGGGAGGCATCAGTGTATCATTGATCATTGCATATCACTGATTTGTCTTTTACACAGAGGATTTTCAATCTCCAGCACTTATTCCAGAACAAAAATCAGTGATTTTCCTTTTGCGCTGCACTCCAATGTTGTATAGATGAAAATTCATGATCTGTTTACTAAAGCCATTTGGACAGCCAGTTCTTCATCTCTTAGCCCTGATTTATATCCTCCAAACTTTGTATATCTGCATATGCGAGAACCATCTGGCACAATTGCTATTAATCTGCTTTGCATTCAACATACCAAAACCATTCATTCATGTTTGGTTGGGTTTTTTTGCTGTTGAACTTTATGGAATGATTGCTTCTGCTGTTCTGGGAAATAGGAATAGCCACATAGAATGACAATATTAGTCCATCTAGTCCATCAGTTTGTCTCAAACAATTGTTGACAACATCTGTTTTAGAGGAAAATACAATATACAAACTACAAGAATGTGTTCCTAAGCAAAACATTTCCTGATGCTTTCTTAAAAGCAGCCTCATATCCTGAAGCACAAGCTTCAATTCTGTCCATATTCCTTTATTTTACTTTGATTTACTTAGTTTTCTAATCCTGTCCTTGCTGAACCATTTTTCTAAATTTCTTGTGTGACCTGTAAGACTTCATACCTATTCCTAAAATGATTTAAACTCTTGAGCTCAGTTCTTTCAAACTATTTAAAGACACTCTGAGGAACCAGACTTCACCACTATGGCTGTATCTAAAATGGTTTGTTGTGTATGCTGGGAAACAGCATTGCCTCCCGCTACCTTGTACACCTGGGTTTCTCACTGAAAACAATGACTGAGAAGTGGTTAGAGATAAAAGCGGTTTGTACCTCGGCTCTGTATCATAAAATCACAGAATCACAGAATAGTTAGGGTTGGAAAGGATATTAAGATCATCTAGTTCCAAATTCCTGCCATGGGCAGGGACACCTCACACTAAAACATCTCACCCAAGGCTCTGTCCAAACTGGCCTTGAACACCAACAGGGATGGAGCATTCACAACTTCCTTGGGCAACCCATTCCAGTGCCTCACCACCCTAAGAGGAAAGAATTTCCTCCTCATATCCAATCTAAACTTCCCCTGTTTTAAGTTTTAACCTAACCCCTTGTCCTATCACTACAGTTCTTAGTGAAGAGTCCCTCCCCAGCATCCCTATAGGCCCCCTTCAGATACTGGAAGGCTGCTATGAGGTCTCCACGCAGCCTTCTCTTCTCCAGGCTGAACAGCCCCAACTTTCTCAGCCTGTCTTCATACAGGAGGTGCTCCAGCCCCCTGATCATCCTCGTGGCCCTCCTCTGGACTTGTTCCAACATTTCCATGTCCTTCTTATGTCGAGGACACCAGAACTGCACACAGTACTCCAGGTGAGGTCTTACGAGAGCAGAGTAGAGGGGCAGGATCAACTCCTTTGACCTGCTGGTCACGCTTCTTTTGATGCAGCCCAGGATACGGTTGGCTTTCTGGGCTGCGAGCGCACACTGAAGCTGGCTCATGTTCATTTTCTCATCAACCAACACCCCCAGGTCCTTCTCCACAGGGCTGCTCTGAATCTCTTCTCTGCCCAACCTGTAGCTGTGCCTGGGATTGCTCTGACTGAGGTGTAGGACCTTGCACTTGGCATGGTTAAACTTCATGAGGTTGGCATCAGCCCACCTCACAAGCATGTCGAGGTCCCTCTGGATGGCATTGCTTCCCTCCAGCATATCAACTGAACCACACAGCTTGGTGTCATTGGCAACAAGACCGGTCCCAACACCGATCCCTGAGGGACACCACCCGTTACTGGTCTCCAGCTGGACATTGAGCCATTGACCACAACTTTTTGTGTGCGGCCATCCAGCCAGTTCTTTATTCACTGAGTGGTCCATCCATCAAATTGATGTCTCTCCAATTTAGAGACAAGGATGTTGTGTGGGACAGTGTTGAACGCTTTACACAAGTTCAGGTAGATGACATCAACTGTTCTACCCCTGTCCATCAGTTCCGTAGCCCCAACATAGAAGGCCACCAAATTGGTCAGGCAGGATTTCTCCTTAGTGAAGCCATGCTGGCTGTCACCAAGCACCTTGTTGATTTTCATGTGCCTTAGCATGCCTTCCAGGAGAATCTGCTCCTAGATTTTGCCAGGCACAGAGGTGAGACTGACTGGTCTGTAATTCCCTGGGTCATCCATTTTCCCCTTCTTGAAAATGGGGGTTATATTTCCCTTTTTCCAGTCATCGGGAACTTCACCTGACTGCCGTGATTTTTGAAACATGATGGCCAGTGGCTTAGCAACTTCATTCATCAGCTCCTTCAGGACCCGTGGATGGATCTCATCAGGACCCATGGCTTGTGAACGTTCAGATTCTTATGATGGTCTCAAACCAGATCCTCTCCTACAGTGGGCCTAGGGTCTTCATTCTCACAGTCCCTCTGTCTGCCTTCCAAGATTTAGGTGGTGCAGTCAGAGCCTTTGCCAGTGAAGACTGAGGCAAAGAATTCATTAAGAACCTCAGCCTTCTCCAAATCCAGGGTAGCCAGTTCTCCTGATTGTTCCCGAAGAGGGCCCACGTTGTCCCTAGCCTTTTATTTCCAATGTACCTATAGAATCTCTTCCTGTTATCTTTCACATCCCTAGCCAAGTTTAATTCTAACTGGGCCTTAGCTTTCCTAACCTGGTCCCTAGCTTCCCAGACAACATCCTTGTTGCGGTTGCCTGTCCTTGCTTCCACCTTTTATAAGCCTCTTTTTTCCCTCAAAGTTTCCTCAGCAGATCCTTATCCATCCATGGAGGTCTCCTGGCCCTCCTGCTGCACTTCCTTCTAGTTGAGATGCAACACTCCTGAGCTTGTAGCAGGTGAACCTTGAGTATCAGCCAACAATCTTGGGCCCCCCTGCCCTCTAGGGCTATATCCTATGGAACCTTACTGAGCAGGTTCCTGAAGAGGCCAAAGCCTGCTCTTTTGAAGTTCAGGGCAGTGAGCTTGCTGCACGCTCTTCTCACTGTCCTGAGGATCTCAAATTCAACCATCTCGTGATTGCTGCATCCAAGGCTGCCCTGGAGCATCACATTTCCAATGAGCCCTTCCCTGTTGGTGAGCACGAGGTTAAGCATGGCACCTCTCCTTGTCGGCTCCTCTATGACTTGCAGAAGGAAGTTGTCTTCCACACAATCGAGGAACCTCCTGGATTGCTTGTGCCAGGCCATACCATCACTCCAACAGATGTCAGGGTGGTTGAAGTCACCCATGAGAACAAGGGCCTGCGAGCATGAGGCTTTTCCTATCTGTCTATGGAGTGCTTCATCCGCAGGTTCTCCTTGATCAGGCGGTCTGTAACAGATCCCCACAGTAATGTCTCCCATCGCTGTTCTCCCTTTAACCCTGACCCACAAACTCTCTGTGGACTGCTCACCTGTCCCCAGACAGAGTTCCATACTCTCCAGCCTATCCCTAACATAAAGGGCAACTCCCCCTCCCCGCCTGCCAGGCCTGTCTTTTCTAAAGAGCCTGTAACCTTCCATTCCAACACTCCAGTCACAGGAGCCATCCCACCATGTTTCTGCAATGCCTATTATATCATATACCCGTAGACATGCGCACATCTCTAATTCCTCTTGTTTGCTCCCCATGCTATGGGCGTCTGTATGGAGGAACCTGAGCCGAGCTCCAAATGAAGCTGGCTCATTGGTTGGGGCAGCTGAAATATCTCTACATTGCTCCAAGCACAAGCGAGGGACTTACTAGAGCAGGCAGCCTCTCTGCAACATCCCTGATCTGAGTCTCTGGTACCAACACACCTCCCTTGAGACTGGGTCAGGCTAACAGATGGGTGCCTCTGTTCCTTTCAAAGCAGAGTCCCCTACTACTATGAGCCGCCAATTTTTCCTGGAGGCATCAGTAGTGATCCTATTTACGGGAGCATTAGCTGGTTGTTCACATGTTGATGTGTGTGTATCTGACGCTAAAATGGAATACAGACCCAACAGACAGATTAATGCAATCTGTGGATATGCCTAGACCCAGTAAAACTCAAGTGCTTCTAGGTTCACTATGTTAGATGCAGTCCGTGAGTTCTAAATACTATTAAAGTATACTGAAAACCATTAAGTCACTTAAGTACTTCTGAAAGTTTTGCCTGCAACCATGGAAAGCCAGTAATCTTTTAAACCTTGCTAAAATATTAATGTCAATATTTTGATTAACCACTTTCGGAAGTCTGATTTCTCAAAAGCTTGTGAGATGCATGGGACTTGCAACCTCAAGTGGCACACAGAAGGCAACAGAAGGCTAATTTCAACAATATCTCGCTAAATTCTTACATTCATTATTAATGAGCAAGCACAAGCAGAAGATTTACTTTGAAGATTAGAGAAATCATACAGGTGAAATCCTAGACAAATAGTGTTTCTTTTACGTGATAAAACTGCTCATTATCAACCACTAAACAAGTAAAATTTGGCAAAGGTTGCTTAGCATGCTTAAGAGGGCAGTGACCGCTTACAATTTTACAAATGAGGCAGTTGAGAAAATAAAATTCTAAATAGATCTTCTGTCTGAAAAAATGTGTCACTTTATGTATTCCTAAACTGCTGCCAATGTATTTAATAGCCTTATATTGTAAATCCCAGAGCAAAATCCTCATTAACCCTCAGCCTTGTCATTTAGAAATGCAGGATTGACCTGTAGCCAGAAACATTAGCTTTTTATGAGAGAAGTTCCTATCCTAATATTGAGAAGCACTGCCGCTTTGTATCAAATATTTAGTCTAGACAATTGTTTTGCAATGTGTGATCCATGAAGCAGCTTCAGATAGCACAATGCAATCAGCAAAATGAATGAGTGGCAAACTATTTTTAAACCTTCATATGTATTCTCTGTAGTCAAGGTAGGCCAAAACAGGAAGGTAAGTGAATGTAAAAGAACACTCATACTTCAGCTATGACTTCAGTAAAGTTAGATGGCCCTTCAGAGAAAAAAAGGCTGAAGATGATTACTGAATTTGCAAATGTGGATATAGTTTTTCTTAAACTATGCATTCCATTTTCTTGTAAGATGGCACGTAGGTGAGTACCTTGTTGCTGACGGGTTCAGACCCCACCGTTGCCTGAACACATACTGACAGAATACCATTAAATGTGTATCATCACGATGTGTTTTAAAGGCACAGCAGGTATATATGTGTGCTACACAGACCTTCAAGAACGATTACACTATCCCCTGTAGTGAGTAAACACTTTCAAAATGCCTTCTCATATAACACACATGACACTATTGGGGGCTTCAGTTCTGTCAGGAGTCACAACAGGTTTAGTGGTGTATTTAGCTGTCTGCCTATGTTCAGGTCTAGGCATACTCTGCAGCACAGGGCCCTCAGTTCAGATTTAGTTCTTGTTCCAAATCATTGTCTTTTAGGTATTCTATTGTGACAGCATTTTAATCTACCCTTCCAGATGTATGCATTACCTTATTGAGCAGGTATAGTCTTTTATTAATAGCAGAGCTTTTGAAAGCTCTATAAACAATTTCAAAAGTTTGTGTTTTCCCTAAGATGAAAGGTAGCTCTGTCAAACCATTTAATTTGACGTTATGTTAAAGAAGCTGTATTTGTAGTTGAAAAAGCTTCTACTCTACAACTAAACCTTTCAGGACTGCAGATAACTAGGACTCTGCCACAGATGTAACATAGTTAACACAGAAAGGCTTTATATTCTTTAGTCCTTTTTTCCACGCAATTGAGTAAGCGGCCCCTTCTATACAAAAAAGCTTTTCTCAAGCATCCTCCAAAGACAGTAAAAAATAATCAGAACAGCCAGAAACTATTATTTATTATCTAAAGAGTAGAATAGTAGACCAGCAGCATGCTGAAGAAATTATTTTCATTTATAGCAAAAAAAAAAGTTATTTTTAATGAATGGGTAGCTATGGTTCTCTTTCTACATCATCAAACCTACCAGGTTTTAATCAGGCCAGTACAAGACAAAGCTCAAAATTTCTGAACACTAATTGTAGCATTTTTATCAACTAAGTGTATGACTTTGGGCAAATGACTTGCAGTTTTCTCACTTGCAAAATGGGAAAGGCAGTAGTAATCCCAGGGAATACATGAATATTTAATTACTGCCAATTTATCCACAATAAGTAACTAGTACATTGGCCTGCAGGTAAATTGGTACTCAGGAAAGTCAGTTAAAGGTCAAGCCATTAAGGTTTGGAGAATGTCTGAAAAATATATGTCATTATTTCTGAATTTCATCATTCATACCTTTTTACTCTCTTCTGAGTTGTCACCTAGTTACAGGTGAAGCTTAATGGAAATAATGTCATTCTTTTTTTGTCACTTAGGACTTTGTAAAAGTGTTAACATGCTTCACCAAATAGCAGTAACAGAAAATTATTCTTGAGAGGTGAAGCAGAGTCTCTGAAAATCTGGTAAGATACTTACCTTATAAAGCACCTGGAAGTTGATGCCATTGCTGAGCCAAACCCATGCTATGAATTTGCCAGATCACGCAGTGACAATAGATATGGAGCTGGCTATGAGTGAATAAAACCTTTCTTTTTTTCTTTTTTTTAAATATTTTTGTGAAGTATTAAAGCATGGCACATAATTGAGAATTTCCTCAGGCAGAACAAGGACACTATAGAGATTATGGTCTTCTAGAAAACTAGAGAACGGGACAGAATCAGGGAGATTTGAAGCTTTTCAGGAAGCTTCAGAGAAAACTATTTTTACATCAAGACTAGGTAAGACAGAAACTACTGGGGTAAGAGCAAGAAAGTTCTAATAATTCTGAAGAGAAACTATAGGAATGAAGCAGGCTTATGTACGATTCAAAGAAATTTTCTGCAAGCTCAGAGAATTCTCCCGAAGCTGACAAAGTTAGACAGAGATTATTTCATAGTTTTAGCTTTTGTAAGTAGAGTAAAATATTTCTTTGAATCCTGTGCAAATCTTGTGCATCCAGCAATATGTAGGACTTCCTGAGGGCCAAATGCATGAGTGCACAAAGCTGGATTTCTGGACAACAATGCACTAAAGCTCCTCAGGTGTCTGGCGGTGCCAAAGGTAGTTGGGTTGTGGCTCACAGATTTTGTAAAAATGTAACAGGTAGAGAAAATTTGCCTGAGAAATGTATCAGTGGAACAAAGACTTCAAGTAGTGTGTCTGTCAAAGCTATGGGAAACTAAATAACGATAATTAAATACACTAGACATAATGCAGGACCACTGAGTGACCAGCTACCGCAAAGTGAATGGAAAAGAAGAAATACCATGTAGAATTTCTGCAACTTTCTCTGTCTTGTTTTCCTAGGTGGGATTTCTCTCATCTAGCTAGATATTTAGTAATGTAGACGTCAATCTCTGAGCTAGGTACACGATATCCATGCTTCTGTATAAGCATCACACTTTATTCCTCAAGTTAAAAACAACAGCAAATCAACACCAACTGTCTTTAGCCTCAGTGTAGTTAACTGGCAATTTGTAGCAGATACCTACTAAATCTTGCACTAAACCCTTTCATATCATTGTCTTATTTTGACTTGTCATCTTGAACTGAAGTGGATCCTTCTGTGGCTGCGAGGAGTAGCCTAGCAAACCATAAAAGGCAAAACTCCAAAGCTTAGTATCTGTCAACTTCTTGCTCTGATAGCCCTACATAGTGTAATTTTGAGCAAGATAGCCAGCGTGGGCCACAACCCAATGCCTCATCATGCTGATGCAGGAAGCTGTGTGGGACAAAGAACCAATCTGCATCAACTAAAGGGCTAGGATGACTAAAATTGTTGCAGAGGCACATGGTCCTCCCCGTCTTAACCAAATTCCCTGTCAAGTGGTAGCTTTGCACTGTAATTTTGGTTCTTCTAATAGTGTAATTTTGGTTCTTCTAAGAAAGAAGCCAAGAAACTGATCCAAAGAGTTCAAAAATCTGCTCTGGATTCAATAACTATGCATTTCTTCTTTAACTGCTTATCCTATTTACACAACTTAAAGCATATTTGCTTTTATTGCAGAACTAAATATAAGAGCATAAATATATGATAGGAAATTTAATTTAGCTGCCATGAAAATGGCCGTGGCAAAGAGGCATAGAAAGCTGGTAGTAGAGAATCATCTCATTTTCCCATTCTTCCTATCATTTTTCTTTCCATTTGGCTAAACCTCCAGTCTTCTACTGCATCTTTCATTTCATTCTTGTATTCTTTCAGAGCTTCTTTCAAAGACTAGTGTTTAGTCTCAGCTGCTAGTGTCAATGAATTATGACTAATTTAATAATTTTTTCTGGCTACAGCTATGCGTGCGATGATTAATAAATGGAGGCAATAGTATGGAAACATCCTAAAGAAACAAAGATTTCAAACACCGATGATCTACAATGATAAGTCAATATTAATTCATAGATTCCCAAGGTTTAACATTTGCTTTCGCTCCTCCTTGTTTGATTTCCATCAAAAGGACCACACTCTCTGTGGCTTGGAGAACTATTCATATTCAGCACAGAAGCATTTAGCATATTTAACATGGAAGCATTTAGTGTTAAATCCCTGAATCATAATCTTATAATTGTCCACATTTATTTTTCCATGTGATAAAGTTATTTTAAAAATTAACAATTGTACACTTACTGGAGGTTCTTTCATATTCAGCAAGGAATGAGATGGAGGGAAGGTGCCCAGGCGCTTTTTGAAACCTTCTTCCACTGTCATTCCCCAGAACTGAGTGTAGTTGGCAGCTATCCATCTTCCTCACAGACAGAAAACAAACAAGCAAAACCCAGGTTAGGGACACCATTCACTTTAATAACTTGTTTCTTTTTAAGAGCAACACTAACATCCAGAAATAAATCTTTCCAATTACATTTCAAAACCTTGTATTCAATACACACAAGAAAACAGTCTAGAGAAGAGAAGCTGCATGGAGACTTCATAGAAGCCTTGCAGTATCTAAAGGGGGCCTATAAGGATGCTGGGGAGGGACTCTTCACTGGGGAGTGTAGTGACAGGACAAGGGGTAACAGGTTAAAACTTAAACAGGGGAAGTTTAGAATCATAGAATCATAGAATAGTTAGGGTTGGAAAGGACCTTAGGATAATCTAGTTCCAGCCCCCTGCCATGGGCAGGGACACCTCACACTAAACCATGGATGGAGCATTCACAACTTCCTTGGGCAACCCATTCCAGTGCCTCACCATCCTTACAGTAAAGAACTTCCTCCTTATGTCCAATGTAAACTTCCCCTGTTCAAGTTTGAACCCGTTACCCCTTGTCCTGTCACTACAGTTCCTAGTGAAGAGTCCCTCCCCAGCATCCCTATAGCCCCTCTTCAGACACTGGAAGGCTGCGATGAGGTCTCCACACATCCTTCTCTTCTCCAGGATGAACAGCCCCAACTTTCTCAGCCTGTCTTCATACGGGAGGTGCTCCAGTCCCCTGATCATCCTCGTGGCCCTTCTCTAGACCTGTTCCAACAGTTCCATGTCCTTTTTATGTTGAGGACACCAGAACTGCACACAATACTCCAGGCGAGGTCTCCCAAGAGCAGAGTAGAGGGGCAGGATCACCTCCTTCGACCTGCTGGACACACTCCTTTTGGTGCAGCCCAGGATGCGGTTGGCTTTCTGGGCTGTGAGCACACTGAAGCCAACTCATGTTCATTTTCTCATCAACCAACACCCCCAAGTCCTTCTCCACAGGGCTGCTCGGAATCTCTTCTCTGCCCAACCTGTAGCTGTGCCTGGGATTGCTCTGACCCAGGTGTAGGACCTTGTACTTGGCATGGTTAAACTTCATGAGGTTGACATCAGCTCACCTCACAAGCGTGTCAAGGTCCCTCTGGATGGCATTCCTTCCCTCCAGCATATCAACCGAACCACACAGCTTGGTGTCATCGGCAAACTTGCTGAGGGTGCACTCAATCCCACTGTCCATGTCAGTGACAAAGATGTTGAACAAGACCGGTCCCAACACCGATCCCTGAGGGACACCACTCGTTACTGGTTTAGATTAGATATAAAGATACTATGAGGGTGGTGAGGCCCTTGAATGAGTTGCCCGAAGAAGTGGTAAATGCTCCATCCCTGGCAGTGTTTAAAGCAAGGTTGGATAGAGCCTTGAGACCATGGTCTAGTGTGAGGCATCCTTGCCCATGGCAGAGGAGATGGAACTTGATGATCTTAAGGTCTTTTCCAACCCAGACCATTCTATGACTCTATGATTTAGTACAGGCTCTTCTACTGTGAATGAGTGTTGGATGGAGCAATGCAACAGTGTATGGAAAGTGGTGATTTGAGGTCAGCATCATGTCAGCCTGCACGAGACAAGCAACCAATACTTCAGGGAAACACTGGAAAACAAGGTGCTTGATCATAACAGTTAGTGCTGTCTTGAAGTTATGCTCAAATTATGCTTCAGGTCACATGCCCACAGAGAACTAACAGCTTAATGTAGTGAGCTACACTGCTTTCAAGCTCTAGTGCACCAGCAGTGAGACACTGTTGAAGCCAGCAGAAAGCCTACCTGACACATTCTGCCTGAGTTTTACACCAATAGCCAGGTTGAAAGAGAGGGCTTTCTATGGCTGTTTAATTATTCCCTCCCCACTCTCAAGTAGACTAGACTGAGATTGCACTGTTAACTGCAAACTGTGCTCACAACAGAAAAAAAATTACCTTGGAGTCATATACATTTAGAACACACTGAAATTTGTTATTATCAGAAAAGAGCTGGACCACAGGAGACAACATTATTTTTGCCCAGTTTTTTCTTTCTTGTGTATGAGTAGCAAGGAGGCAGGATTCATGCTGCCCAAATGAGAAGCCTCGCTATTCTTGGTCTGCATGTAGTCAGTGAAGAGTGCAAGTACCTGCAGAAGTTGAGTCATATCTCAGCTGGGCTTAACCACCCTGTGGCAAACCTTACCACTGACAAGAGGCAGGTGCAGGGCTCTGGGTGCCTAACATAATTGTCTATCCTAAAACAGTTGGTTTGAATGTCTCTCATGAAGTACAAAACATTTTAGCATTGAGTCACTGTTTGAAATCTGGGTAGTGTCAGTGGTGAATTTAGCACTTCAGCTTCTAGGAAGACAATCCCTGTATCTGTCTGGAAATAGCAGGATACCACAGCACACTTCCTGCACTGAGGTGTCTGTAATCCCTCTGCACAACCTGGGGAAAGCAAGAACTAGCAGCAAGAGAAACACCGAGCTTCACAAAGTTCTGGTCACCATTTGGCCTATCTTCTCCTCTTCGAACATTACCGAGAGTCCTGTTATGTGGAACAGTGCTCTTGAAGGGGGAGAAAAATTACCTTAAATATCTATCATACTTATCCAGGTAATAAATTGAAGAATAAGGGAATATTATCTAAATAATATATTGTGAGGAAAAGAAATTATACTAAATTTGGAGAAAGTTTTAGATAGGTGTTTACAATGTTGACTCTCACTAGCATGAGACTGTTGGTCTTGTTTCATTTCAAACCCTAGAATCAACCCGAGATTTAGGAAATTTTCACAGATGTACACTTACAGTGAAATTTATGTAATGTAAGTAGGGAAGGGAGGGGTGACAAGGACTTCATAACTTGTAATTTGCACATACGTACAATGAGCAATACAGTGGTTTACAACAAAACCTTAAATGAAAAGTGTTCTCACCCATAATCTCCAGAATTGATGTGCTGAATTAAGTCTTGGCGAACAAGACATATTTCTTTTGAACACTTCCAGAGACTTTGCAAGCATTTGCTGAAAGGGCAAGAATATCACTGAGCCCAAAATAAATTGTCAAAGGAAAAACATGCACTTTAACAGCAGAAGGAGGTTGGAGAAAAAACCCAAAAGTTTTCACAATATAAATGTCAAACAGCATTTATGAAAACACGATGCTACTTCACTACCTAATGAATGATAACTGGAACAGGGAGGGAAGGTTTACAGCTTATGAGAAAGACTGTATTTGAAAAATTTTGCTTCCACCTTTGTTAGGCCGAACCAGGCATAAAAGACAATATCCTGTAAATGAGACCTTTAGAGAAAGCTTCACTCTGGAAACCTAGAGAGAAGCCATATGTCAGTAGACACGTTGCACCAAAGACCCTGGGCTATAGTCAGGACAGCAGGAGCCCCAGCTCTTTATGCATGCTGCTGGAGTCCTCTGGGTTTCCCTGGGGCTGGAGGTGCAGGGGTGTTTTTTGGAGCAGCAAAGCAGAAAGGCAGCTCAGGCAGCCAGCTGCTGGGACTAGCAGCAGAGCTCCCCTGCCTGTGCCACCTGCTCCTGTTCCAAAGCAGAGAAAGGGATGTTCAAACAGTTCATCCCTTTCCTGCGTAAATATACATACATATGCTTCCTTTATGAAATAATGTCAGGTTTCATTGCTCATGCCAAAGAAGCAGAGGAAGACATTTTAAAATAATCCCCTAAACTTTAGTGGTATTTGTTTTGTCTGCGTTCAGGTCAGTGCCCAACTCTAGGCTAAAACCATTTTGAGTTAAGTAAGAGGCAGCAGACTGACTGAGCAGGAACAGAATTAGGCCAGGGAGGTGGAGATTTTAATACTCTAACTTTTATATCTTGATTAGAAAGCCCATTGGGTGACTCTTGCCATTCTTCTAAGTTGGCTGTAATCTAGTTCTACAGTAGCTTAATACAGCACTACTCTTCCAGCTATTTTGACTTAATTACGTGTTTAGTATGAATTTAAGAATGCAGACTACCTTAATAACTCTTTCATGACATATGCTAAATAAAATCCAATTTGCTGTTCTCTAGAACATTACCAGGAATTGCAGTTGTCTTTAATTATTGCTCCTTCTCCATAATATCGGCCAGCTCTATAACAACCTGTTAACATAACATATAGATGTGTGAAAAAAATTATCTTTTTTTTAAGTGAATTAACTCAAAATTCTTGCAACTATTGAATTAGTTTTATGAAATGTGCAAAAATTATTTAGTTGAAAGTCGGCAACGTTTATACCCAGTTTCTTCCAAGTAATGTAGGCGGTTTGATGTATTTTAATTTTTTACCAGGTGCATTATCATTCATAGCAAATAAAACCAGCAACAGATTCAAAACACCCACTGAAAAAATATCTTACATGTAAAAATATAATTCTTCAAATAAAGTTATTTTTCAGTAATAAAAATCAATAGAATACATTTCTAATAAAAATCATTTTACATTTATCAATTAAAATAGAAATAAGATTTTCCAGTTATAGAATTTTAAAAAACTAATAACTACTCCAAACCTATTGTAATATTGTAATATAATCTTTTCCCTTCCCAGTTTAATTTCTTTTTGAAAAGCAGGTAGATCAATTATGTTTCAAGGAAACGTGTGTTTCATATATTCTCCAAACCCAATATAAAACCAAAATCGAGTGATGACTTTTCTAAAAAAAATAAATGCTTCCTAATTTTTTTCTTGGATAATACTTCAGTGAAAAAAGACTTTGTGCGTGTTTTAAAATCTTCCACACAAACTTTCTTTGGTGTGCTTGATTGTCAAAACTTCAATGAAAGAAAGATCCAAAATCACAGAATCACAGGATGGTTTGGGTTGGAAGGGACCATAAAGATCATCTAGTTCCAACCCCCCCCCTCCCCCCGCCATAGGCAGGGATACTTTCCACTGAATCAGGTTGCTTAAAGTTTCACCCAGGCTGGCCTGGAAGAATGTCTGCACAGGGCTTTGGATCAAGCCTATAACAAACATTGTACATTTATCACATGGGTCTTTCTTTTCCAGACAGGTAGAGATCATAGTTCCTCCCCCACTGAAAAGGTTTGAAGTCAGAACCCTCAAGTTCTGCTTTCTCCTCCGTTTTCAAGAAACTTAAGCCATATATCATACTGCTATAGTGTTGGCTTGCATTTGCAGTAGTATATCATGCTTTTTCTCTACCGCAGGTGTGAGGAATGCCATCCCCCTCTCATGCTGAGGGCTGTCTGCCATGCGCACCTCAGCTGCCTAAACGTCTCCTGTTGGCATTAGCCATAGCTAATTTCATACCAGAGTAGTCTAGAGCTGATGAATTAATTATATGTGTCTGTCTTTCCCTGTTAGTCATATAGCAGGCTATGTTAGCGCAGGTACAAGAGACATCCCAGCTACGCAGTCTGACATCTAAAGTGTCTGTTCTAATTCAGCTTCTGCTGAGAGCTGAGGCTTTTTTCAGAGAATACATGATGCAAATTACTCAGTTTGTCACAGTCTGCCGCAAAATCAGCATCAGCAAAGTGTCTGGAAGGAGGCATCCAGCAAGATACCTCAAATATATCAAGGGAAGGAAGTACTGATGCAGCATCTGAGGGACAGAGCCCACTGGAGCTCTGCTGGCAGGCATAACCAACTATGCCTGGGAAAAAATACAAACCAGGACAAGTACAGAAGAATCTTTGGGAATCTTTAAGAATGCTTAGGGGACTGAAGATTAAAACCATACAATTTCTTTAATCCAGCCAAATTAAGACCAAGAGGGCCAGGAATGTTGCCTGAGTCATCAGTGGCAGAGGGCAGAGATATCAAAGCTGAAAGACACTGTTTGCATGAGAACACAGCAAGATTGTCTGGCTGTGAACATATTCAGTTGGAATATTAATATATTAAGTGGGAAATTAATTAACTTGAAGATGCAGCCTGATGACTTTATGAATGGGATTATAGGATGTGAAAATCATGGTCGGAAGGAAGAGTATTTGGTAAACAATGATTTTCCTCACAGTCCAGCATTCCTACAGCCTTACAGGTCTTAATCTATTTGCCCGCAGTACTGATGTAAATACTTCTGTCAGTGAAATGTCTCCAGGTTTATTCAGTTGTAGGTCAGATCCTGACTGTGTGGTGCAAAAGCAATAACCAAACTCTCTGGATGTCACTTCTGTACCACCACCAGGATGAGACCCACTGTGTTGAATCTGACAGGGCTTTTTCATACCGTCAGACTAATTGAAAGAAAAACATAAATAATAAATATACTCAAAAACTATAAGAATTCTTCTAATAACAAAAATTAAAATATATTTTAAAAATCCAGAACTTCTGTTTGGCATCGAAGCCAGGCATGTGCACAGTTTCTTATGAAACTATGAAGAAAGCCATCAAAAAACACTGAATTCTGGGTTCACAAAGGCAAAGTCAAAGCAATTCCATACAGTTAAACCAAAACTGGCCCTCCACATGCTGCACACCCATGAAAGAAGTCAAGTAACTTGCTACTGCCATGCACCGAGTCAGTGAATAGATGGCAATGCAGAAATAAAGCACCAAATAGTTTTATTGCTGCTCATTCCAGCCCATGTAAAGCACTTCAGTTTATTGGTTTATTTAAAGAAATATGACTTAGGAAGCACTGAGAGCAAAACCACAGGCAACCAAAAGATCAAAATCTTCCGGGTGAAAAGAACTTTGGCATACGTGGTCTTCTAGTGCTTAAATAATTCTTAGCCAAAGGCAGAAGTATAATCTCAGTAGCTAAAAGTCCGCTAATACTGTTATGCCATTTCTAAAAATATTTCATAGTTTGCTTAATCTACAGACATTCAGTCCTTTTTTTCTATTTTTTCCCTTCCAATTAGATTCTCTCTTCTTCCCTGTTCCTCAGACATTCCAGTTCTAGAAAGTTCCTTTAGAGTTGTGATTTTTTTTCCTTCCATATTTTGACTGCTTTATTATGCCCTTTTTACCCTTTAAGTTACTTACATAACAAATATCCAACAAAGAGATTTTTAAAAAGTTGCAGATTTTCCATCAAGGAAGCACTTTAAGGATCAGAAAAACAGGGTCTTTCTTTGAGGTCCATGAACAGAGTAAATATAATTACCACCTCTTGCAGGTATGTACAGTCCAGGTGTTATAAAACACTGAACATGCATACAAAAATTGGATTAACAAAGGCAGTAAACATGTTATGCCTCACTTATTCCCTTATCTAAACCCTCTGTTATATTTTTACCTTTTAGAGGTGCACCTCCAGGCAGGGCCCACATGGAAAAATGCTGCAGGTTCTGCAGTGATTTGTTTCCATGAAACATCAAACCAGAGCTGCAGGCTGTCAGCTCTGTAGCAGAAATTCTGCTAAATGTTTATGTAAAACTTACGAAAACAGCCTGATCTGCTGGAAATAATATACACTACTGAATCAAATAAATATGAAAGAAATGTCTTTATTTACATAAATAAAGGACATTCTTTTAGATGATTAGAAACGCTTTGGAAAATCGAAGTTGTTTTGCAGCATTTCTGTCACTCCTACTTTTCGTGGTTTGGCTACATGCCTGGCTTACAAGCACAGCCTTCTGAAAAGCTTGTGGTTTGAGTGCTGGAATGCAAGCAGTAGGGTTACTGCAAATAAATAGTTAATTTTAAGGAGTCATGGTATCATTTTTGTTGATTTAGGCTTTTGAAAGTTTGGTACAGTCTCTACATTTTCAGACAGTTTTGGTGTGCCAATAGGAAGAAACTACATAGTCGTAGAATCCACAATTCTAAACTTTTCTCATCAGCAGAGATTTGGCATAAAAGGGAACCAAGGCAGAATCAGCTGCCTGCAGACCATTTTTTTGCAATCTCTAGTTCTAAAAAGTTTAGAGTAGTCCTGAAAGAATTTTCACTACAAACTAACTAGTAAGAAACTAAAATATGCCAGAAATCCTTGATCTAACCACTTCCCTTTACCTGTTCCAGGTCCTCTGCTGTCCCACATTAAAGCTATGCTGGATCAAAACCATTGCACAATAATTCAGAGCAGTATAATTCAGAATAACCCTCAGTTTTCTTGATTATTTGTGTGCACTGATGGATACAATAATTTAGAGCTTGCTGTTCACCTATTGTTGATCTGTGAAGCTCTATTGAAATTGTTGAGATTACACTAATTTTAACTCAATGAGGTTATCTCTGAGAAGTTACAAGTAAAACAGAGATTCTGTTCAACAAAAATATAATTTAACCAATTTAATCAATTTAACCAATACTAAAAATATGTTGCTAGAGACAGAGAAATAAGAGCAAATGTAATTTTACTCCAGTTTCATGCTGTCTTTCTCCACTATGTCTTTAGTCACATTTTTAGGATGCATGCACTGTGATCAGTAAGTTTGCTTCCAAGTATATATTTATCATAATGCACTAATACCAACTGAACATCTTCTCTATGCCTACCTGATGTCAGAGGTGGCCAAGGTTCATTTGGCCTGGTGGGCTCAACATGGTGGTCACAGACATCCCAGTAGTCAGCACAACAGTCTACAGGGCCAGGAGAACCTGAGGCACAGAACTGGTCACAGTAACATATAGCTGCTCTGGAGACAATATTAAAGGTGCAGTCATCGTCTCTTCCTGTGCAACAGCCTCTTACCCTGCAGGATCTCCCCTGATACAGACTCCTTTTTAGCCTGTTCCACTTTGCAGAACCATCATCTTCAACAGGGTAAAGTCCTCCGGAGAAATTTCTTCTAGAGCCAAACTGCTCTGCCATCCAAACTTCACTTGCAATGCAATATAAGATCAATATATGACTTTTGAGACACATTCTTTTACCTCTAGCAGCCTTATTTCAGGCTCTCTGTGTTTCACTTTAGCAGTAAATATCCATCTACTGCACATGCAATTCCTTCAGTTAGTATTCAGAAAGAAGTCTGAGCAGAAATCTACAGACTAAGGTTTTCTAGGAAGACTCTGTATGTGTTAATTATTAGTCAGTCACGTTGTAAACTGATTTATTTTCCCAGGATACAGAGATACTGGAAACAGAGCCATAGCTATGTATTAATCTCTATGAAACATTGGGTGCATTTTTCGCAAGTGGGAAAATTTATAGTAAAGGTTTCAGAATATAAAGAATATGCATGGTCTGGTAGTTTAGTTCTATACTTTACTGAAATCAAAACAATGTGAGGAGTAAGTCAAAGGAAGATCGCTTTCTTTCTGGCTTCATTTACCTGTAACTACTATATTCTCCATGTGATGGGAAACTATATAACAGATTGCATTTCATCTACATTCCGCTTTCTGATATGCAGAGCTATATCACTGTATTAAATATATCCTGCAACCCCTATTTCAATCTTGCTTCCAGTGATCTAGGTTATCTTTATATGCTTCATTTTGCACTGGTTTACTGTGCGTGAACTCAGAAAAAGGTGAGATTCAATATAACCTATTACCCAAAGATGTTCCTTAAAGGTTGACATTTCTTTAGTTAAAATGAACTTGGTAGTCATTGCTAAAGGCGCTATTACTACCCACTGATGAGTGCTCATTCTTATTTAAAAAGGAAATAGCTGTATTTATAAAGCCACAAAGAAAACCAGAGCAGATATCAAAAGATGAATCTAACAGCCTTTATTACTTGATCTCTGCTCTCCAGGTTTTTGGACATCAGTGTCCTGGGTTCAGCAGTAGCAGTCATTTTTCTCCTTCTTAGTAGCTGGTGCAGTGCTGTGTTTTGACTTTTGGCCTGGGAACAGCACTGATAACACCGATGTTTTTAGTTAACCGCTCAAATGTTTAGTCTGACCAAGGGCTTTCTGAGTCTCATGCTCTGCCGGGGAGGAGGGGAAGCCGGGAGGAAGCAGAGAGAGGATGCCTGACCCAAACTGACCAAAGAGGTATTCCATACCACAGCACGTCATGCCCAGGATGTAACTGAGAGTTACCCGGAAGGGCTAGTTGATGGTGGGGTTGGACTAGGTATGGGTCGATGCTTGGTTATGTGGGGTGGGAGTGAGTGACAGGTCGGCTGGTGGTGAGGTGTTGTATTCTCTTCCCTTGTTATTTCCCTTATCATTATTATCATTGGTATCTATATATATACACCTTAGTTACTAAACTGTTCTTATCTCAACCCGGGGGAATTGCATTCTTTTGATTCTCCTCCCCATCACTCTGGGAGCAGGGGGAGGGCAAGAAGGGGGGGAGTGAGTGAAAAAGCTGTGTGGCTGGGTTTAAACCACGACAATCAGACATAAATAAATATGCGTGGTACTTTTGCCAAAGCTTAAAAGAATAAAAAATGAAAGCAGCAAAGAACTTTGACATTCCTAACAGAGATAGAACGTAAGGCTAAATGGCGAAAAGTATCATAGGTTCAAATCTGAACCATTACAAGATAATTTAGGGCTCCAAAGCTGAATAAGCAGAGGAAAAATCTAGTCATAGTTTTTGTTTGCATTCTGTAGCAAATGAGAGGAACCTGGAGAAGGAGGTGGCAGACTGTTTTCTAGGGAATGAAGGAGATCTTCTTCTTTGGGAGTTCAGCTGGGCTTTTCAGTGCTGCAGGAAGTCAGAGCACCAAAGGATAGCTACTTCTGAAAGCGCAGCTGGCAGCACAGCTGGTTTGGGTACATTGCTGTGAATAACAGAGACATTAAGTGCTAGTGTGTGTATATGTGTGTGTACGTTTATCTATGAGCTTGTTGTCAAAATGTTTGAGTCTTTAATAACATTTCTTGCCAGCAGTGCTTTATGTTGGACCTGCTTCCCACAGTGTCCCCACCAGAGCTAAAGAACTGTGAATGACGGGAAATTGCATCAGACCACATGATTTTTACTTTGCTCTGTTGCAAGCAGTCTTCTGTGTGGAAGTTAATAGAAAGGCCAAGGTCAGCAACATGCAATCACTGTACATAATAGGACATAAATCTTATCCTTAAAATTTGCTCTGTGAGGTTTTTTTTATATAAAGTTTTATTTATAAGACAAAAAACTGGACAACATTTAAATCTGTTACTGTTGTATATTGTATCAAATATAACAAAGGAAAATTGGAAAAGACATTCATGGAAACTCAGGTGACGTGCTCACTAGAAATTATAGTCTAGTTCTCTTCCTTATGTCTATGCAGCTCCATCGGTTCCAAGAGAATGACTCCTGATTTGCACTGACATTATCAAAATGCACATCTTCTTTGTTAGCACAGATGTATGGAAATACTTTTACAAAGTTATCTCCTCGCTCTGGAAGCATAAGAAAAAAAAAAGCTACCATATGTGATAAATGTTACAAGCCAGTCAGATTAAGTGAACAGGCTTATCTGTATTTTCACTTATAGACCTCTGGTTTCATTTTGGTTTGTTTGGTATTTTGATATTTATTTTCAACTTTTAAAGACTTGATGATGATAAACCAGAGGCAAGGGATTTGCTTGGAAATGAGCTAGTTTACACAGGAATGAGATTTCCTTTAAAGGAGAGTGAAAATGTAACTCGTACTTCTAAGCAGCTTTGTTTTTTGACACATAAAACTCTGCTGAAACTTGATAAAATTCACTTTCTCCTAGTTTTTGGCATGTGTTCAAATCTTAAAAAAAAAAAAAAAACAATCAAAAACCAAACCAAAAGCCAAAACCATTAATCAATTCTGTTGTGGTTCAGCAAATATTTTATTTCAGTTCTTTCCTTTGTAAGCAAAGTAACCCTGCTCACTGTAAAAAAAAAAAAAAAAAAAAAAAGCATACTGTAACTATTTAAAAATAGTTAAACATGATTCTTTTTCTCTATTGAAGATTAACCTATTCCAAGCACAGCAGCTCCGCTAAGATTTTGAGTTATGGTCCTTGTCTTAGTTCTAGTCTCTACAATTAAGTACAGAATTATCTGACTTGTACCTGTTTCAGCATTACCTGATGTCTACCCTAGAGCTTCAAAAAACACCACACATTGGACAGAAATTCAAATATTAGTATCACTGAACATTTGGTGGAGTAACAGATAGAAAACAGTTTTAAATGTCCAAGAATCTCTTTAAAACTTGAGCAGGATTATTCCACAGCCTTTCTTTCAAAAGTCTCCTGATTTGTCTGAATAAGCCTATTGAGTATTATAAAAATCTCATTTCTAACCAGAGCACTGGAGATAGCAGTGGTCACTGAGGCTCTGGGTGCTGAAGGTGACCTCCAGGATGGACAACCCCATAAGAAGACCACAGCAGCTTCCCTTCTGGCTGCTGCAAGCAGACTAGTGTCAAGCTTTGTGCCCAGATTCAGAAGGAGAATTGCAGTGCTGCTAAATTGTGCCAGGAAAATGGAGTGACTCTCAGCACATTTAGGAAGAAAACAGAACACCAGATGCCAATTCAGTCATTCGCCAGTAGGAAAAGCACAATGCATAAGGGAACCCCTGTAATTTCTTATCTCCAAGTTAAACTCTGCACTGACACAGGCCACCCTTTTCTTTGAACTCAAACAGAAATTTAACTGGTGACTCCTTGCACAAAATACATCACTAATTTGTAATGAGTGCCATAGCTTGCACTTATTACTCTTTCTTATTAATGGCTGTAATACAATGTAAGTAATGCAGTAAAAAACACTTCACCTAAAGCATTGTCTTCTCTCTCCTATGTACTAATGGCAGAATGAGATTCCCAAACTGCAAGTGACTAACTGCTAGATGTGTTTATGCAGAGAAAAGCAGTGTGTTCAAGTGATTTTCTCACTGTCATTTTGGTCTCCATATGTTTGGAGCGGGAGTGGGTGTGCTTTCACCCCGTTTGACAATAGCCTGACAGCTCACTGCTGTGGGTTGTTGGCATGGTATCAAGCAGTGTCACTTTTAATTCACACATTTCAGGCTGACTATCGCAATTATTACAATGCTAATCCAGATTTACATGTAATTTAGAATAATGGTGGTTTAAGTTATAACGCTCATCAGATGTCTAACTAGAGTCCTGCCACAGTATGACTTGCCTCTGTGACCATCATGCCTAGTTCCTCAGATACTTAAATCAACAGATTTAGGGTCAAAGTAAGAGGTATAGGAAGAGAAACTGACCCCAATCACCTATGACAAAGAAATCCCATTCCTCACACACACAGATTCACATATACAAGTGCTCAAGCACTCAATAAACGACCACTGGTAAAAGGTGACTTTATAGGCACAACATTGTACCAAGTGTTTGCTACAGCCTCATAGCCTTTACACTCTTCTCACCACAGTAATTCACCACACATATTTCCCACCCCAGCAGCATCACTTGGTCAACCTCAAGGCAGCAGGTGCCATGTCCTTTTTATTGTCAGCCATACTCCAGCATTGCCTTGAAGTCAGCCCTCTCTGGGCTCAGTCAGGTAAATATATGTGAAGAATGGGGCACGCTGCGCATGAACCAGCACAGTATGCAACCACACAGCTGCAAGCATTCTCCTAAACAGTGTTTCCCTACCTGCAGAACAGGTAAGAGCAGTCATTGTGGCTTATATCTGAATAGGAACCTCACAGGAGACACAACCAGGCATGGAAATCTTGGCGGTGTTCCCAACGTATCATGGACCGCACGCCACCTTTGTTATGCTGTCAGTGTAGATTACTGTGGACAGCTTAGCCTGTGCATGGCTGCACACAGGTTCAGAGAGGTGATGCGTGCAGTAAACTTGCCAATCCCAAACCTCCTGAACCAGTTAGAGGTGACAAGGGGAACATACTGTATTTCACTGTCAGTAGGAGCTCTCAGAAGGTGTCATGCAGGTGTTTCATGGAAGATGGGTACCTACCAGTGTTCATCTCAAATATCTGGCCCTATCTGATGCCAGCAGTGAATGCTGGCACTCCAAGTCCAAACTGTTCCCTTGATCATGAGTAGACTGAGAAGCACAGAGGCAGAAGTAGCCTCCCAAACCAATATTAGAAACCTGAACAGGTTGTCCATATGCTTACTATTAGT